TTTCATTTGTAATTTCTGAAAGCTTCGCTGTTTTCGAGGTGTGCACTTAATTCATGTGATGAAGGGAACAGTATTTCCATGAGTGGTTTGGTTAATTTTTCCCCTCCTAGACTTAGCACTGTATATCATGCTTCCAGTGTTTTTGTGGCTGCTTTATGTACATCTTCTAGAAATATATTCTTGAAGTAAACGTGGATCAAAACCACCCCAAGACAAGATTCAATAAAATATAATTTTTCACAAAAAAGTAAATAATTTAGATTGGGGCTTTCACTGATATGTCTTAATTGTAAACATTTCTACACTGCATTTTGGTTTTTTTTTTTTATGCTAGTTTTCAGATGTAGATTGTTACTTCATTTATTTTTGTAAAAGTAGTAACTTTAAATAAATTTTTATTGAAAATGCTAACAGAAAAAAATGAAATTGTTTTAAAGAAGCCACAACTGAGGCCGGGCGCGGTGGCTCAAGCCTGTAATCCCAGCACTTTGGGAGACCGAGGCGGGTGGATCACGAGGTCAAGAGATCGAGACCATCCCGGTCAACATGGTGAAACGCCGTCTCTACTAAAAATACAAAAAATTAGCTGGGCATGGTGGCGTGTGCCTGTAATCCCAGCTACTCAGGAGGCTGAGGCAGGAGAATTGCCTGAACCCAGGAGGCGGAGGTTGCGGTGAGCCGAGATCGCGCCATTGCACTCCAGCCTGGGTAACAAGAGCAAAACTCCGTCTCAAAAAAAAAAAAAAAAAAAAAGAAGCCACAACTGTGGCTCATACCTGTAATCCTAGCACTTTGGGAGGCCAAGGTGGGTGGATCATCTGAGGTCGGGAGTTTGAGACCAGTCTGACCAAGACAGAGAAACCCCATCTCTACTAAGAAAATACAAAATTAGTTGGACGTGGTGGCACATGCCTATAATCCCAGCTACTTGAGAGCCTGAAGCAGAGAATCACTTGAACCTGGGAGGCTGAGGTTGCGGTGAGCCAAGATCATGCCATTGCACCCCAGCCTGGGCAACAAGAGCAAAACTCTGTCTCTAAAAAAAAGAAGCCACAATTGCATGATCCTGATACAACTATATTATTATTATTTGAGTATACATGAGTTATAAAAATAGTATTTGTAAATGCTTTGCAATTTTTATTTTTAGAAATGAAAAAATATAACAAAGAGGAGTATTCATATTCTCTCCACTTAGAATTAATCCTCTCAACATGTTGACATCTTTGTTTATAGTAAACCTTTTTTTTTTTTTTAATATGGAACGCTTCACGAATTTACGTGTCATTCTTGCACAGGGGCCATGCTGATCTTCTCTGTATCATTCCAATTTTAGTATATGTACTGCCGCAGCAAGTACTGTAGTAAACCTTTTTAAAAGCAACAGAACACTGTTGTAAAACAGGTAGATGTACATGAGGATTTCAAAAAGTTTGTGAAAAAATGGAATTAAAAGATAAAATTTAAAAATGCATTTTAAATTTATTTCCCAACATAAGCTCCTCATCAAGTTCAAGACACTTTTATAAATGATGATCTCTGCTGTTGAGTTCATCCCTAAAGAACTGAGGGTACTAGAAATTCTACCATGTCAATGCAATCTCTTTTACATTATTAAACTAAAGAAAAATAGGTGCTTTTTAAAGATCTTTTAAGATTAGAAAACAGAAGTCAGAAGAAGCCAAATCAGGACTGTATAGTGGATACCTAATAACTTAGCATAGAAACTTACAGAATTGGCCTTGTTTGAGGAGGAGTGAACAGAAACCATGGTGGGAAATGACTTTGATAATGCTTTCCCTGGCATTTTTCTACAAACACTTGGGATAACTTTCTTAAATAATAAGCAGAACTTGTATTGTTTAGCCCCCCAAAACATCAGCAAGCAAAATGCCTAGAACAGCCCAGAAAACTGTTACCATGACCTTTGCTCTTGACTGGTCCAGTTTTGCTTTGATTGGACCACTTCCACTTTTGGTACCCATTGCTTTGATTGTGCTTTGCCTTCAGGATGGTACTGGTACAGCCATGTTTTGGCTCCCATTACATTTCTTTGAAGGAAATGCTTTAGGATCTTGATCCCTCATTTAAATTTCTACTGATAGCTGTGCTCTTGTCTGCAGCTAATATGGGTGCAACAGTTTTGTCACCCATCAAGTGAAAAGTTAATTCAACTTTAATTTTTCAGTTAGAATTGTGTAAACTGGACCAATTGTTGAGATGTCTGTGGTGTTGGCTGTTTTTGCTGTTAATCAGTTCTCTTCAATTAGGGAAAAAAAGATTAATTTTTCCTGAGAAATTGATGTGGATGGTCTGCCGCTGTAGGCTTCATCTTCTGCATGATGTCATCCCTTGTTAGAACAAGTTATCCATTTGTAAACTGCTGATTTCCTAGGAGCATTGACCCCATAAAATTTTCATAAAGCATTGGTTATTTCATCATTCTTCCATCCCGGGCTTCACTATAAATTTGATGTTTGGTCTTACTTCAATTTTAGCAGAACTCATGTTGCTCTGATAGGGGCTTTTTAAAAACTGATGTCTTATCCTTCATAATGCCTCTGACTAGATCCTGTTCAGACATGTTATAGCAAATTAGTACAAGTTTATTGTGGTGCCAAAATTTTTGAATCCATGCATAGTTTTTTCCCAACACATTTTCCGTGACCTTTTTGAAGACCCTTCATATATTATTAGAAGAAAGTTAAAAATATTCCCTGCATCTACTCCTCAGAAATAACCACTGTTAACATTAAGTCTGTTCTCAACTCTAGGCATTATTGAGGGTTTTAACGACAGGTCTTGAAAATTTCTATGGCTACCTTTTACTAGGTGGAGACTAGGCATGTGTAGGTGACTGCATGGTTAATCCCTCTACCCAAAAAGCCATAATTTTAAAGTGTAGTATTCATTAGCATTTAGTATATTCACAGTGTTGTAAAATGACCACCACTGTCTAGTTTGAAAACATTTCATCACCACCAGAAGAAAACCTCTTATCTCTTAGCAGTCTTCTGTTTCCCCAGACACTGCAACCATTAATATACTTTTTGTCTCTGTGGACTTGTCAGTTCTGGACATTTTATGTAAATAGAATCATATGACCTTTTATGATTTGCTTCTTTCACTTAGTGTAATGTTTTAGAGGTTCATCCACATTGTAGCATGTGTCAGCACTTCATTTCCTTGTGTATTGGTCCATTCTTGCCCTGCTATAAAGAAATGACTGTTGAGACTGGGTAATTTATAAAGAAAAGAAGTTGTTTTTGTTTTTGAGACAGAGTCTTGCTCTGTTGACCAGGTCAGAGTGCAGTGGCATGATCTCGGCTCACTGCAACCTCTGCCTCCTGGGTTCAAGCGGTTCTTCTGTCTCAGCCTCCCAAGTAGCTGGGATTATAGGTACCCCCCACTGCGCTCAGCTAATTTTTGTATTTTTAGTAGAGATTGGGTTTCACTATGTTGGCCAGGCTGATCTCGAACTCCTGACCTCACGATCCACCTGCCTTGTCCTCCCAAAGTGCTGGGATTACAGGCATGAGCCACCATGTGCCCTGCCAAGAAAAGAGGTGTAATTGGCTCATACCTCTGCAGCCTGTACAGGAAGCATGATGATGGTACTTGCTCGGCTTCTGGGTGGTCTCAGGAAATTTAAAATCATGGCAGAACAGAAAGTGAGGTGTCTTACATGGAGCAGGAGCAAGAGAGAGAAGTGGGAGGTGCTACACAGTTTTAAACAACTAGATCTCAGGTCAAGTCAGTTACTATCATGAGAACAGTACCCAGGGGAAAATAACCCTCATAATCCAGTCACCTCTTACCAGGCTCCACCTCCAACACTGGGGATTTCGATTCCAATTCAACATGACATTTGGGTGGGGACACATATCCAGAGCATATCACTTTGTGTAGCTGAATGGTATTCCCTTACATGGACGTACCACATTAATTATTGGCTTATTGATTGACAGGATCCTTCTCTTGTGCAGGCTAGAATGCAGTGGTGCCATCATAGCTCACTGCAGGCCTTGAATTCCTGGGCTCCAGTGATCCTCCCACCTCAGCCTCCTGAGTAGCTGGGATTATAGGTGTATGCCACCACACCTGGTTAATTTTTTTTTGTTTTTTAGCAGAGACAGGGTTTTTGCTATGTTGCCCAGACTGGCCTTGAACTCCTGGGCTTAAGCAGTTCTACTGCCTTGGCCTTCCAAAGTTGTAAGATTACAAGTGTGAGTTTAGAGAGAGATAATTTCTTACTCAGCTCTAAGTATCTTATTTCTATTATCATTTGTTCTTTGGTTTGTTAATTATTTAGAAGTATATTTTAAAATTTCCAAGCTTGGCGTGTGTCAGTTTCATAAAAGTTTCACATGTTTGAAAATTGGATGTGTACCCTAATTTTGGGGTTGTTTTTTCACTGTCTATGTTATGCTTGCTAAGTTTTGATCTGCTGGGTTACTGCGAAAAATGTGGGTTTCTTCATCTAATTCTATTTTTGGTTAATATGTTAGGCACAGAGCTGTTGTTTCTTTGTGGTGAATTGAATCTTCATCAATCTTTATTATTATTCTTAATAATGCTTTTTTTGTGGCTGGGCATGGTGGCTCACGCCTGTAGTCCCAGCTACCCAGGAAGTTGAGGCAGGAGAATTGCTTGAACCCGGGAGGCGGAGGTTGCAATGAGCTGAGATCACGCCGCTGCACTCCAGCCCGGCACCTGGTGACAGAGCAAGACTCTGTCTCAATAATAATAATAATAATAATGCTTTTTTGCATTATATTTTGTCTCATTGTAAGAGAGCTGTGTCAGAGTACTTTTTAAAAAAACTTTAATAGAGTATGTATTTTTTTCATTTTTTGTGAGGTTTTTAACCATAAGTTTAAGTAAAAAAGCTTATAATTGGACTTTATTTACTTTTAAGTTTAATTCAATTTATTTTAATAGCAGTTTTAGTCTGTTTGTTGTAGTTACTACTATCTTTTTTTTTTTTTTTAACTTTTTAAAAAAATATGGAACACTGCACAAATTTATGTGTCATCCTTGTGCAGGGGCCATGCTAATCTCTGTATCATTTCAATTTTAGTATATGTGCTGATGAAGCGAGCACATTTACTAGTATCTTTGGATTTATTTCTGCCTAATTGTTTGGTGATTCATCTTCTTCCTGGCTTCACTTACACATTAAAACCTTAGAATAGAGATGGTGTCTCACCATGTTGTTCAGATTGGTCTGAAACACCTGGGCTCAAGTTATCCTCCTGCCTCATCCTCCCAAAGTGCTGGGATTACAGGTGTGAACCACCATGCCTGGCCCCACCTTGCCCATTCTGTTTTACTTTTATGTTGCTTGGGATTCTAAAATTCCATTTTATCTTCTCCTTTTGCCTCTCCCAATCCTATCTCATCACACACATTAGTATGGAAGTTAGCCACTTTTTTTTTTTTAATGTGTTTACTTGTCACATCAAAGTCAAAAGCCTGTCAGTATCTTCTCAGTTATCCCATAAAATCCTAGGACCTTAAGACACCTAAAATCAGGTTACATTTCTTTATTATTGTCTAGTATTCTAGTTCTATAATTTTTATCTCTCAGATTTCCATTCTGTGAGTCAGTGTTAAGTTTAGATTTGTCCATATCCACACTAGTTTCTTTCCTATTCATTCTTTCCTGTGTATTTTTAAGAAGTTCCGTTGTTTAGAGGTCTGTTAGGTTGTTTGAAAATGTCTGTATTTCACCCTTGTTCTTGAATGATAATTTTTCTAGGTATACAGTTTTTTTGTTTGTTTGAGACAGAGTTTTGCTCTTGTTGTCCAGGCTATAGTGCAATGGTAGGATCTTGGCTCATTGCAGCCTCTGCTTCCTGGGTTCAAGTGATTCTCCTGCCTCAGCCTCTCGAGTAACCGGGATTATGGGTGCCCACCACCGCACCCAGCTAATTTTTTATATTTTTAGTAGAGACAGCATTTTACCATGTTGGCCAGGCTGGTCTCAAACTCCTGACCTCAGGTGATCCACCTGCCTTGGCCTCCCAAAATGCCGGGGTTGCAGGCATGAGCCACCATACCTGGCAAAGGCCTAACTTTCCTTCCTCATTCTTTTCATCTTGTTTCTTGGTTTCATCATCCCATTTTTGCGCTTTTTATTCTCTTCCAGTCTCCTTTTGTGTAGCCTGATGCAATGACTATGTGTGTTTCTGATGCCTTGGTAGGTTATACTGTAGGTAGGATGATACTGTTCAGCTAGTAGATGGTAGAAGTCAGATGTCATGTTTTTAGAATACCTCAGTTTTAGATAAGACTACCTAATTGGGTGATGTATTTTATTATCCCAGATTGTTTGGGGGATGTGATGGATTACTGAAAAATGCCCAGTTTCATGTGTGGCTCTTAGAGTATTTATTTTAGGAAGTTAGAGGCTTATGTGTTCACTTTTCTCTTGTTTAACTCGGTACTCCTCAGCAACCCTTTCAAAACAGTATTCCCTCATCTGAGAAAGGAAAATGTAAGGATACCCATTAAGTTTTCTTCTCTCCAGATAAGGGATTATTTTTAAGAGTCTGCAAGAGTTTTGTTGACTTACCAAATAGGTTTCTCAAAGATGGAGAGGAGGGAGGGTAGGAACTTGGCCTGGCTTGGCTCGCCTCTCAGATTCATAGGAAGAGGCAAGTTCAGTAGCATAGTTTCAGCCCACCATTATAGTATTATTTTTTTTTCCTGAATTATTATAAGTCTTAGTCCTTACTTCCAGATAATCTTCATTATCTGTTTTAATTACTGCACAGTATTCTATTTTAGTGATGTACCATTGTGCAAGTATGATGTTTTATTGTTTTTAAGTTTTTCTATAACAGATAAATCTGCAGAGATTTTTTTCAACTCTCTTATTTTGCTTCTGTTACATTATTTCTTAGATTGAATTTCTAGGAGTAGAATTGCTATGTTAAAGAGAATAACAAATATCTCTGAGCCTTGTTGCAGATTGCTTTTTTTCATTTTTAAGGTTATACCAACTTAGATTCTCTCTAGAATTGAATGAGTGTATTAATTTTATTGTAGCTTCACTAGTAGTTGGTGGTAGTTTCTTTTTCTTAAGAAAAAAAGCTGTAGAATAATCTCAAAGTTGCTTACATATTATTTTATTCTTGTAGCATTTCCTAGGGATTAGTCCACTACTTTTTTTTTCATCTGTGAGTTGTAGGTGTTTACACATGCCCGCTTGATGACCTTGATGTTTTCTTATACATGGAAGCAAGTGCTTTTATAAAAGAAAATATTAACCTTTATCTTTTTACATTTTGCAAAGCTTTTTTTTAAACAAATGTTGCATCTTTTAAAAATGAGCTTTATTCAAAATTTTAAATTGTAATATATTGAATTTCTTTTGGTTGGTTTAAATTGAGAAAGTTATTTTATAAATATTCTTCTTTTTGCTAACTTTCTGCAATTTGATTTTAATTCCTTATTCCTTGCATAGTTTGCTTTTGGTATATGAAAGTGTGCTCTCTAGGTGGATACAGTTTATCTCAACCTCATTAAATGTTTTAAATCAAGAGAATGGACTCACTCTGTTATATTAAGCTTCTATGTATAATTGCATAATTATTTGTAATGCCTAGTAAGGATACACTTTATTCTTTTTTTTAAGATGTTCTTTACAATTTCATTGAAATTTAGTTGTTTTGTTTTAAAAAAGAATTCCTATTGAACAGTCTCAACGAATAAATAGCTATTGATATTAGATCTAGTTTTTTCTTTTTATAGTTTACCTCGTTTGTTTGTTTGTTTGTTTATGAGACTGAGTCTTGCTCTGTTACCCTGGCTGGAGTGCAGCGACAGGATCTTGGCTCACTGCAACCTCTGCCTCCCGGGTCCAATCAATTCTCCTGGTTCAGCCTCCCAAGTAGCTGGGACTACAGGTGTACTCTACTACACCTGGCTAATTTTGTATTTTTGGTAGAGATGGGGTTTCACCATGTTGGCCAGGCTGGTCTAGAATTCACTTGAGGGCGACCTCAAGTGATCCACCTACCTCTGCCTCCCAAAATTTTGGGATTACAGTCATGAGCCACTGCACTGACCCAATTCTTGTAGTTTTTTAATCGGCTGAATTTAACTTTCAAATTTTTAAGACTTTCAGTAGGCAGTTATCTTTATACAGGTCCTATGTAATCAAGACGTCATTTCTAAATATTTTGTGTATGTTTTTGCTAATGTAAATGAGATCAGTTTTTCATTATGATTTCTTGCTGTTTATTACTGGTAAGAATTTAGTGAAACAAAGTACTTAAGAGGATGTTTTTTAATTATGAGATTTTGATGAACTTTTAGTTTTAAGAAATAAAATATTTTAGTTTCTTAGAGCTAACTTTTTCAGATGCCTAAGGTGGGTCCTTGGTTTAGGCAACGTCATACAACTATCACAGGTTTTGGACATTGAACATCATTTAGTAATGTTTAGGGAGAACATTTGAAATGTTTAGGAAAATATAAATAAAATATTGTTAGGGACAAATATATCATCAGCACTGTATAGAGTACATATAGAACTCTAAAGTCCTAATGAACAGAATTTTATATGTCAGTAACTAGAAACTCCTTAATAGTTGTGACTGAATAACTTATGGATAGCAAATTATTTAACTGAAAGTAAAATTTAAATGGTAGGAAATACTGCTTTATGATTTCTGTCTTTACCCATTATTTATAGAATTTTGTTACTTTGTTCTGTTTGCAGGTGGAAAACCATGAATTCCTTGTAAAACCTTCATTTGATCCTAATCTCAGTGAATTAAGAGAAATAATGAATGACTTGGAAAAGAAGATGCAGTCAACATTAATAAGTGCAGCCAGAGATCTTGGTAAGAATGGGTCATTGGAAGTTGGAATAATTCTTTTGTCTATGCAGTGTCTGTCTGTACTGGTGCCAGAATTATTTTATAAGCATCCCCAAGGTGATGACTCCACATTCCTGTCAGACAGAAATCACCCACCAGGTCCTTGTATGGTGTCATTTAAACAAGCCCTATTTTAAATGTCACCTCCACTAATAACAGGATGCTCCTAGGAGAATCACCAAACCCGATACTCCTAGGAGTCTGCATTGATTTGGCTTTGGGTTTTCCAACCACTCCATTAATGTCAATTTTTTGAAAAGTCTGTCTTCCATACCAGCTTATTAATTCCCTATGGGTTCACACTGGTTTTTTTTTTTTTTTTTTCCTGGATTTTCAACAAACATGTGCAAAGTGCTCAGTACAAAGAAGTTTAGAAATCCAGAATGAGGGCCAGGCGCAGTGGCTCACACCTGTAATCCCAGTATTTTGGGAGGCTGAGGCGGGCAGATTGCCTGAACTCAGGATCAAGATCAGCCTGGGCGACACAGTGAAACCCCGTCTCTACTAAAGTACAAAAAATTAGCCAGGTGTGGCGGCATGTGCCAGTATTCCTAGCTACCTGGGAGGCTGAGGCAGGAGAATTGCTCAAACCCGGGAGGCGGAGGTTGCAGTGAGCTGAGATTGCGCCACTGCACTGCAGCCTGGGTGACAGAGTGAGACTTTGTCTCAAAAAAAAAGAAAGAAAGAAATCCAGAACAAAACAGTATATTTAAGCAGTAATAATTAAACTTCTGGGTAATCTGATGAAAGTTATGGATCCTCTTCCCCAGAAATAGGCCCATACCTACATATATTTTAAAATTGCAAATAGTTTCTGTAGAGAGTCCAAACATGGACTAGATCCCTGATTATAAGAACCTTAGCATTAAAGTCCACCTTCCTCATTTCATAGCTAAGGATATTGAGGCTCAGAGAGTTTATGTGTCTGGAGTTAAAGTTGTGTTTTCTTAATAATTTTTGACTTACTAGAAAGTTAAAGTACCTACAGATTTCTGTGTTTCACCATGTGTTAACTTGGTTGGCTGGAAATTTTTCTGCTGATAATGGGTTTTGTGAAGGAAGAATCCTGTTAAGACTGCATCATTGGGCTAGGCATGGTGGCTCACACCTCTAGTAATCCTAGAGGTGAGAGGCCAAGGTGGGCAAATTGCTTGAATCTAGGAGTTCGAGACCAGCCTGGGCAACATGATGAAACCCTGCCTGTACAAAATAT